AGCTTTGGAGTCTGTCTTGGAACTAGCTCTTGTAGGCCAGGCTGGTCTCGAACTCACAGAGATCTGCCTGCCTCTGCTTCCCGAGTGCTAGGAGTAAAGGTGTGCACCACCACTGTTGTCCAGCAATGCCAATTTTTACAGGTGAATGCCATAGGGCTAATGCGAGGGAGAAGATATTTGGTGTTATGGTCTAATACTGAGCAACTTTGGGCCAAATATGTACTATGCCGTGTATATGTATCAGAGACATGAGCAGTTCATCCTTTTCTTTTACCAGAAGAAGCTGGCTGTCCACCAATGTCCCAATGCAAACTCAACTATGAAGTTCATGGAAAATAAAAGCTAACTGAGGTAGGCTAGAAAGAGAAAAACAGACGATTTTATTTTATGTGTGTGCTTGTCTTCATGTGTGTATGTGAGCACCACATATGTGCAGTACCGGTAGACACCAGAACAAAGTGTTGAATTCTCCTGAAACGGGAGTAAGAAAGTTATGAGTTTCCATGTGGGTGATGGGAACTGAACCTAGGTCCTTTGAAAGAATGCTGCTCTTGCAGAGGACACAGGTTCAGCTCCCAGCACCCACATGAAGGCTCACAACCACCTTTAACCACTTTGTGGGCCTCTGGAGTCATGTGCTTCACAGACATGCAGTCAGATACTTCCACACAGAAAATAAAATATATAAAATATCAAAAAATTTTAGAAGCAGAAAGCAGTGCCAGGCGGTGGTGGCGCACGCCTTTAATCCTAGCACTTGGGAGGCAGAGGCAGGTGGATCTCTGTGAGTTCAAGGCCAGCCTGGTCTACAAGCTACAGCCTCCAAAGCCACAGAGAAACTGTCTCGAAAAGCCAAAAGAAATAAATAATTGTAAGAAAAAAGAGGAAGGGAGGAGAGAAGGTGGCAATGAATTCTGTGCTCAGTGTGTTGTAATTTAAAAACAGTGGCGTAAGAAAGACATCATGCCACAGAGTTCAAGCAGTGGGGTTTTTATTAGGGGAAAAGGATCAGGACAGGAGCAGCAGAGAGGAGAGGGGGGCAAACAGATGACAGAGAGAGGGAGAGAGAGAGCGAGGAGGATAGGTGGTAGGCAGAGCCCTTTGAAAAAGGATCATAGTGAATAGGCACAGGTGGTGCTTTCAGTTGCAGCAGCTGAGGGCGTATCCTGTCAGAGCCTCAAAGGTAGGCCAGTACAGATGCCTGAATGCTAACAGTGTATTTTCTCCTGTTTACACTGTTGAGGATGCCATCCCAGGGAGTACTGGCACCTGCAGTGTGCAGGGCTTCCCGCCTCAACTACCTAATCAAGACCAGGCCAGCCTGGGCTACCTAGTGAGATGCTACTCAAACAATGCCACATATTACTTGTGGGAAAACATGTGGGATAAAATTATAAAACACTCATAAGACTGATAATTAACAAGTTCAGGATAGAAGTAACTCGGAAAGAATGGTATTGGTGATGGAGTGGGATTTCAACTCTAATTTGTTTCCTTTTGAGATAGAGTCTCACATATGGCACTAACCTGGCTTTGTAGCTGAGGATGTGTAACCAAGCTATTTTTTTTAGGTCCACCAACCAGCTTCTAAATTACATGGAGACTTATTAGTTTTGGATGCTTGGCCTAAGCTTAGGCTCATTTCTAGCAAGCGTTTTTAAACTTAAGTTGGCCTGTTTCTCGTTATCTACCTTTTGCCTTGGGGCTTTTTATTTTCTTTCCTTCTGCGTATCTGACTTGCATTGCTTCTCTGTATCTGGCTGGCAGCTGCTGGGCTCCTGGCTCTGGGTATCTCCCTCATTCTTGCTCTTCTTTTGTTTCTTCTTGAGCCTAGATTTCTTCTCTTATTTACTCTCTCTGCTGCTAGTCCTGCCTGTCCTTTCTCCTGTCTAGCTACTGGTCATTCAGCATTTTTATTAGACTAAATCAGGTGCCTTAGGCAGGCAAGGTGAAACAGATGCAACACATCTTTACATAGTTAAACAAACGTCCTTACATCATTAAACAAATGTAGCATAAACAAATATTGCACAAATAATGTTCCACAACAAGGATGGCCTTAACTTTTGTCTTTGCCTCCCAGGTGCTGGAATTTTTGATGTGTGCATACCACTATGCTTCTGTTATGCTCCTACCATTTTATCATCCTCATTTGTGGGAATCAAACAAGCGCTCTTCTACTAAACAACCACAGCTCTTTTATTTTTATTTGTGACGTTACACTAAGTTACTCAGGCCTGGCTTGAATTATTTTGTGTCACATGGAAGTGCTTGTGATGCCTGAACCACCAGGTCAGCTTTTTAAATTTTTTAAAAATATTTTTTGGTTTTTAGGTTCTCTATCTATAGTCCAGATTTGGAACTCACAGCAAAATATTACTGCCTTAGTGTGTCCCAAGCCATGGGACTATAGTTGAATCATTAGGTCCAACTATTTTTTTTTTGAGACAGGGTTATTTCACTCTGTAGTTCAGATTTCCCAGAAACTGGCTACATAGCCCAAGTTGGTCTCCAGTTCCTGATCAACCTACCTCAGCTTCCCAGGTTCTAGGACATCAGGTCTCACCACACTTGGCTATGTTATTTTTTTTGCTGTACCCAATGAAGGAACTGTAGTCCCCAACTAGATTGTGGGTGTTTGCTTGTGTTTTGAGATGGGATCTTACTATGTGGTCCTGGATAAGCTAAAATCCATTATGTAGGCCAGGATGGCTTCAAACGTTCGTAAATCTTCCTACCTACTCTAGTGCTGCGATTTCAGGCATGTGCCCGTCCCTGACTTCCAACTGCTTGCTTTCTCCGAGACAGGGTCTCATGCATCCCAGTCTGGCCCCAAACTTGCTCTGTAGCCAAAAAGACATTAAATTTCTGGTTCTCTTGCATCCATCCAGAGTGTTGGGATTACAATCGGCTCCATTGTTTTGTCACTATAGATACATCTGTATTTTAAGAATTTTAAATAAATAGAACTACACAGTATGTGTGAGAGGGCCAGGGAGCCAGACCAGAGTCATGACAGGTTTCTAATAGCCCCTGTCAAGGACCAGACCTTAGTTTTAGTTTACTGGAGGTGGCTGGAGCTCAGCAAGAAGTTCTCAGGAAAGTCACTACTCAAGGGCAACCAATCAGCAGGTGCCCTGGAGCCTTCTGCTGGTTAAAGATAGCTTTCCTGCCCCTGCCCCTGGAAAGTCCCTAAACACTAGAGCCACCTACCAATCCTATCAACTTTTTGTGTAAACCCACCAATAAGGCCCCTAAAATTCCCCTAACACTGCTTAAAGGGAGAGTGCAACCTGGGTGGTGGTGGCACACACTTTTAATCCCAGCACTCGGGAGGCAGAGACAGGTGGATCTCTGAGTTCGAAGGCAGCCTGGTCTACAGAGCAAGTTCCAAGAAAGCCTCCAAAGCAATACAGAGAAACCCTGTCTCAACAAACAAACAAACAAAAAACCAAAAGTAAACCCAAGAGGCAGAGGCAGGCAGATTTCTGTAAGTTCGAAGCCAGACTGGTCTACAGAGTGAGTTCCAGGACAACCTTCAAAGCAATACAGAAAAACCCTGTCTCGAAAAACAAACAAAAGTAAACCCAAATAATAAAAATGAGGGAACGATTACAACAGTGCCTATAAACTTCAAAGTAATTATGGTAGTAAAAGTCAGACACAAAAGCACATTGGTAGGATCTGTAAGAAGTCTCATGAAGAAAGCCGGGCGTTGGTGACGCACGCCTTTAATCCCAGCACTTGGGAGGCAGAGGCAGGCAGATCTCTGTGAGTTCGAGGCCAGCCTGGTCTACAGAGCGAGTTCCAGGACAGCCTCCAAAACAATACAGAGAAACCCTGTCTCGAAAAACCAAAAAGAAAAAAGAAAAAAGAAAAAAAAGTCTCATGAAGAGACCAGCAGTCACTTATGCAATCAGCAAGATCATTTATTAATATTACCAATATGTTAGGGTCTAACCATATGACAAATTTGCAAATGGTGACCCCCCAAAGAAACACACGTTTTTTTTTGTTGTTGTTGTTGTTTTTTTTTTAGTTTTTTGAGAGGGTTTCTCTGTGTAGTCCTTGGCTGTCACGGAGATCGGCCTGCCTCTGCCTCCCGAGTGCTGGGATTAAAGACGCTTCCACTTTTCACCCCAGTTTAAAGCAGTCTTTCTGGGAAGCCAGGTGTTTGGGCGTGGTTTGTGCCTTATCCAGGCGCAGGCGGAAGCCCCACTGTTGGGGGCTCCTTCAGTATGGATGTGGCCCACATCTTCACTCTCACATCCCGCCACTCGAGTCCCTGCCACACCCTCATCTGTGGCCCCCTGGTCCGCCCTCACAGGTGGCCTTTGGCATCCCCGAGGTTCCAGGCCTCCATTTTTCAGGTGAGTGGTAGGGCGGAGCAGAGGACCCGGGAGAGAGTCTGTGCGGGGCCACCGGGCCTGAGGGCTCGGCCTCGCCGGGTCCCTGAGCTAGCTGCGGCCCAAGGCGCTTCGTGGGGCGAAGTTTAGCCGGATCGTGCCTGGCTGGAACCATGAGGACCATTAAAACCGGTGAAAGCCCTTGGCCTCGTGCGGCAGCGGGGCGGAGCCAAGGAGCGGCGTTCTCATTGGTGAACGCCCCGGGGGCGGGGCCTCACCTCGGCGTGGGGCGGGGGACTTCCCGCACGCCGTCTTCGAAGCCCGAAGGTGCGGGCACGTGTGGTGCGGCGCGTGCGGTGTGGCGGGCGCGTGCGGTGTGGGAGGTGCGGGCGCGTGCGGTGCGGGAGGTGCGGGCGCGTGTGGTGTGGGAGGTGCGGGCGGTGCGGGAGGTGCGGGCGGTGTGGGAGGTGCGGGCGCGTGCGGTGTGGGAGGTGCGGGCGCGTACGGTGTGGGAGGTGCGGGCGGTGCGGGAGGTGCGGGCGCGTGCGGTGTGGGAGGTGCGGGCGCGTGCGGTGTGGGAGGTGCGGGCGCGTGCGGTGTGGGAGGTGCGGGCGCGTGCGGGAGGTGCTGAGGGCTGCGGCGCGGGGACCTCGCGGGCAGAGTCTCTGGCAGCCTTTCTTCGTGCCCAGGACCACCGGAAGCCTGGCCTGAGGCTCTCCTCACAGACTGTCCCCTTCTCCTCCGGGCCGAGGCTTCCTGTGGGGGTTAATAGAAGAGTCAGTTTGGGAAGTGAGTGAATGGGGAATCAGAGGAGCCAGCTGGATTTTGTCTTTATTGTTAGGAACACATCGGGAAACAGTACTCTGTCTGGGAAACGCCCGGGAATGGTTGTCTAGGAGCTTGGAGGGCCGCTTAAAACACGGTTCCCTTATACTTACCAGGAGGGAGCCCTGTAAAGGTCAGAGGTCAACTTTCAAGAATTTGGGTCTCCCCTTCCACCAGGTGAGTCTCAGGGATCGAACTTGTGTTGCCATGGTTGGCAGCAAGCACCTTTACCCATTAAGCCATCACTTTAGCCCTTGGAGAGAGCTTCTTGACCAGACAATTCGATAGTTAACAATTCCTCCTGGCGATTCTGTGGGAAGGGACCAGAAGTCTGAGGAAGAGACTTGCTTTTTCTACATTAAAGGGGGGGGGAGGGGATGACATAGGGGACATAGGACATAGGGTGTGGAGGGAAGTGCTGGGTGGTTTCACTCATATTCACGGATCTGGGACAGAAGAATGGCAAATTCTAGAACAGCCTGAAATATATAGGGTCTATCCAGGTCTATCTCTTGTTAAGTAGTGGAACACTGTCTCCCCAATAAAGCTGGAAACCAGGCCGTTGTGGCGAAAGCCTTTAATTCCAGCACTTGGGAGGCAGAGCCAGGTGAAGTTCTAGGAAAACCAGGACTACACAGAGAAACCCTGTCTCAAGACAAAAAAGAAAAGAAAAGAAAAAAAAAACCCAACAACTCAGAGTTAAAAATGGGGTCAGAAGAGGAGTCCCTCTGACTCCCAGAGCCACCCTCTCTTGACACACTTTCATCTAGAGCCTTTCTTGTAGAAATAGTGGCCTTTCTCCTCTTACACTTTCTTTACTAAAGTTGGTTGATAATGGAGCAGGAACTGCACTTGAAAGTTTCAAATGTATGCATTTAAAGTGTCATTTACCTTGATGGATCAGGCATCTTGGAATGACTTGTCATTATTCTTGTCTGGTTGAATCATCGAGGAGGGAGCTTTGACTGATAGGATCTCTGTTCTTTAAAGTTAGAAGTTCATTTAGCTGACAGGAAACAAGTAAAAGCACAAAGGACAAGCTCAGGCTGAGGACATTAGGCCATTTGGTCCTTAGATATAGTAATGAAGACTATAATATGCCCTCCCCCCTTTTTGGAGACAGCCTCTGGATAAATAGTCCATGGTGGCCTTGAACCCTCTGTCCTCTGCCTCTGTTTCTCTAGTGCTGGAATTATGGGTGTGTGCCACTATGCTTGGCATTATCAAAGGTTTTTCAAAATACATTGTATTTATCTGTATGGATGTCTTGCTGGCATGTTTGTCTGTATGTCATATGCATACTGTGCCCAAGGAGGCCAGAAGAGGGTGTTGGGTCCTTTGGGACTAAAGTTATAGATGGTTGTAGGTGCTAGGAATCAAATCTGGGTCCTTTGGAAGAGCAGCCAGTACTCTTAACCAGTGAGCTATCTCTCCAGCCCGTGTGTGTGTGTGTGGGGGGGCTCCCCCAGTCACAGGGTAGCACTATGTAGCTCTGGCTAGCCTGGAATTCACTGTGTAGATAAGGCTGGCTTCAAATTTACAGAGCTCTACCAGACTCCCTATAAAGTTTAGGTTGGCCATTAAACTTGTCCTGATCTTCCTGCTTCCACCTCCTGAAGTTAAGATTACAGATGTGTAACCACCACATCTGGCTCATAGTGCAGTTTGATAGCAAAAAAGGCTAATTTTTGGGCACATTAAATAGTAGAATTTTTCACCAATTGGCTCAGAACAAAACTGCATAAATGTTCTTACATGTCGGTAGTATAGTTGGGAATGTTGTACTGTATTAATGTTCTGAATATTTCTCTGTTCTTTAATAGAAGTATAAAAATGAATTTTAATGTCTGGAATATCAAAGAGATGCTCAGTATTCCCTCAGGCTCTGGGTAAGTTTCCTGGTTATTTTCTTTGATGGTTAAGTCCTGTGGTTTTATTGATTTCCTAGAAAATATCATTCCTGTAGCTGGAATGGCTGTTGAATAGTGCTAGAGGTATCCATATCGCCTCTCCTTTTCTCCTCTGTTACTGCTATTCCTTTCCATGCTTGTCTTTTTCTGCCCACTCATTTTCTGCCCACTTTTTTTATTTCTCAAAAAAAAAGAAGCCTGCTGTTTATACAGAATAGAGAAAACTTATTTTTGTTTAATTCTATTGGAAAAGTGATGTCAGTTTAGGGGAGATAGGTGAGGGTAAAGGGTTTATCTGTCAAGCGTGAAGAATTGAGTTTGAATCCCCAAACCTGTGTAAAAAGCTAGACATGGTGACATGTGACTGATATCCATCCATGATGAGATGGGAGATAGAGACAGCTCTGGAAACTCACAGGTCAGCCAACGTGGCACAGTTCCAATGAGAGGCCTTGTCTCCAACAAAAGATGAAGGCACCTAAGGACAAGCACCAGTGTTGTCCTCTGATCTCCATACAGATGCCGTTCATGCATACATATACACCTGTACCCACACCAATATGCATTTAAACACCTACACGGACACACCCACAGGTAGTGTCAACACATTGTGTATATCAGCTTTGTATGCAACATTCAGTCTGGTTCTCACAGATACAAATCCCCAAATCAGTAGTGTTCAAATGTCTGTTTGTTAATGTGATATGATTTGTAGCTTCTGTGAAGAGCCACTCCAACTTCTGGCAAGACCCAGTGAGATACTGTGCATGCTGTATCTACTGTCCAATGAGGTTTTTGACTGGGTTTCCATCCAGCTACATAAATCTACCATTTCTAAATCGTGGAAAATGTCTGAAAAAGGATTTAAATTGTTTTTTGCATGCCTTCATCATTGAATAGTTTCTTTCCTTCCTAACACTTTGCCAAAGAAACTTGCCAATTTGATTAAAAAAGAAGAAAAGAAAAATCTAGGGGCTAGAGTGATGGCTCTGGTTAAGAGCACTTACTGCTCTTGCAGAGCACCTGGGTTCAGTTCCCAGCACCCACATTGGTGGTTTACAAACAATTGTAATTCCAGTTCCAAGGGATCTGATCCCTTAACTCCTTGGGCACTAAACACATGGTACATGGTATATATACATACATGCAGGCAAAATACTCATACACATAAAATTAAGTATTTTAAAATCTACTCTTTTTATTTCTCAAAAAAGCCTACTGTTTATACAGAGTAGGGAAAATTTATTTTTGTTTAATTCTACCGTTGCTATAAGATATAATCCTATACCAGGATGGGTTTTGGTGGCACATAACTTTTATCCCAGCACTTGGGAGGCAGAGATAGGTGGATCTCTGTGAGTTTGAGTCCAGTCTGGTCTACAGAGTGAGTTCCAGGACAGACTCCAAAGCAATACAGAGAAACCCTGTCTCGAAAAACAAAACAAAACAAAAAATTCACAAAAATGATACGTAATAAGAGTTCATTTTAAATAAAGTTCTACATTTTACATTTATTGTCTGTGTGTTGGGAGGAGGGTACAGTATGGTTTGAATTTTCATTTGATTATTCTCCAACTGTCATAATCAAAATGTGGGGCATTCATAATTTCCTTGTGGTTCTTTATAGGTCATAGAGGCAGTGTATAGAGGACTTAGAGGTCAAAACAAACATGCCCAGAGCTACATAATAGAGAGACCCTGTCTCAAAACAACAAAACAAGCATGCACACTCCAGAATATTCTGAAGTAGTAGCTATGAGTTATGATTTCATTTGTTCAGGATGAGTGTTTACTTAATGTTTTCTTGCTTCATTTCAGGATCACTAAGCCATCTAACTGGAATAGTAATCAGACTGATTGTTCTTCTCCCAGTGATTCCCAGTTCCTATTTGGATCTCAGTTTTGTCCGGAAAATTCAGAGAGTCTGTCTGCATCCTTGGATGTTGGTGTCTACTCAAGACATCCAAAACAAACACAACATAATTCTGTAGATGTGAGTCTTATTTCCAGCTAGTTAAATTTTCTGAGGCAGAATCTTTCTGTGTAGACCAGTCTAAGGTCCATCCTCCTGTCTCGACTTCTTGGTTCTTGGGGTTATGGGAATAAGCCACCACTTTAGCTCTGATTTCTAGAATTTCTCTGGACTTATTTTTTTTCTGAGACAGGGTTTCTCAGTAGCCATGATGCCCGTCTGAGAGCTCGTTTTATAGAGCAGGCTGGCCTCGAACTCACAGAGATCCACTTGCCTCTGCCTCCCTGAGTTCTGGGATTAAAGGCCTGCACCACCACCCCCTGGCAAAGACTTATTTATTTATTATGTATACAGTGTTTTTCCTGCATGTATGCCCGCAGGCCAGAAGAGGAACCAGATCTCATTATGGATGGCTGTGAGCCACCATGAGGTTGCCAGGAATTGAACTCAGGACCTCTGGAAGAGCAGCCAGTGCTCTCTGAGCAATCTCTCGAGTCCCTCTACACATATTTCATAGTTCTTATGGAGATAAACTAAAAAGAGAAGTTTTCTATTGTAATGTGAACATACTTTAGAATTATACTCTGAAGATTAGTGTGCTAAACGAATTAGTGCTTGGTTGATGACATTTTGTTTTATTTTGCTTTGTTTTTGAGTCAGGGTCTCACTATGTAGCCTTGGCTATCCTGGAACACCTTTTATAGACCAGTGCTCTTTTTTTTTTAAAGATTTATTTATTTATTATGAATACAACATCCAGCCTCCATGTGTGTCTGCACATACCAGAAGAGGGTGCCAGACCTCATTACAGATGGTTGTGAGCTACCATGTGGTTGCTGGGAATTGAACTCAGGACCTCTGGAAGAGCAGTCAGTGCTCTTATCCTCTGAGCCATCACTCCAGCCCATAGACCAGTGCTCTTAACTGCTGAGCCATCTGTCCAGTCCAAAACCCTGTCTTGAAATAACAAAAGCAAGCAAACAAAAAGGATGAATATAATCACAACTTTATATACATACATAAATATATATTAATCCTAAAAATAAAACTGAAACATACTTAATGATCATTCAGTATATCAAGCAAAACTTGTTGATCTTCCCTTCCTCCTCCCCTTCTCCATTCTCTAGTCCCCCCCTTATACCTTTCTGCACCCTTTACACTTTTCCTACTTTCTTGTCCCATTTCTTCTATTGCCTCCACTCCTACATTCTTTTTTCTTCGTTTCCCTTTTCTAGTTTCTTAGACTATACCCACACTCACATCCACACATACATATAGATAAGCATTAAAAACTAGGATCTGGCCTGGCATTGGTGACTCACGCCATTAATCCCAGAACTGAGGAGGCAGAGGCAGATGGATCACTGTGAGTTCAAAGCCAGCCTGGTCTGCAGAGCAAGTTCCAGGACAGCCAAGGCTGCACAAGTCCTGTCTCAGAAACAAAACAACAACAACAGTAACAAAACCCCCTGAGATCTGCATGTAAAAGAGCACTTAAGATATTTGATTTGTCTTTTTGAGTCTGGTATTTTGTTACTGCTATTTTGCCTTTTTTTTTTTTTGACAGTTTTACTCTGTAGCCCAGACTGGTCTAGAATGCATTGTGTGGCCCAGGCTAGCTTAAAACTCAACGCTGGGGAACTGGAGAGATGGCTCAGAGGTTAAGAACACTGGCTCCTCTTCCACAGGTCCTCAGTTCAGTTCCCAGCAACCACATGGTGGCTCACAACCATTTATAATGAGGTTTGGTGCCCTCTTTTGGTATGTAGGCATACATGCCAGAACATTGTATACATAATAAATAAATCTTAAAAACCTTAAAAAAAAACCTCAAGGCTGTCACACCTAGTCCATTGTGCACCATGAGAACAACACATATGGGTTCCAAAGACTTTAATAAGTCACCACATAAATAGGGTCACTTGGTCGCTGATGTATCATTGATGCAGAGCAAGGACTGGATGGAGAGACTTGTTTCTCCTGGCAGTGTTTATAAGCACAAGAAACACACACATTTGTTGCTAAGTTACAGTTCCAATTTTTACCAATCAGGAGTCAAAGATTAGGGACTTTCCTTGTGTGTTCCATCATTGTCAACCCAAAATTGAACCTTTTTAGTCCAACCAATTAGATTCATTTGTTCTTTCTGTTGTTATCAACAGCCATAATGTTTTAGAGAACTAAGGGGTATAACAGACCATTTCCATTGTTTAAGGAGGAGGTTGGTCAGCCATTGGAAAGTTCTCAGCTCCCCTAGGCCTAGGAACTTGAACTTTGTTCCACCTACATGGGAAATTGAATCTGAAGTAAAAATGGCAGTATCTAGACCAATGTGCTTTTGCCTGCTGTCTTCAAAGGTCATCCTTCTGCCTCTGCCTCCGGAGTGCTGGGATTCAAGACTTGTACCACCATGCCTTCTCTTTTTAACTTTCATTTTTGGTCTAGAATTACACTTAAATTTATATTTAGACGTGCCTATATCAAATAATGCAGTGAGTAAGCCAGCTCAGGGCTGTAGGTTAGTAAAGCACTAGCCGGGCAGTGTGGCACACACTTCTAATCCCAGCACTTGGGAGGCAGAAGCAGGAGGATCTCTGTGAGTTGGAGGCCAGCCTGTTCTACAGAGCTAGTTCTAGGACACCCAGGTACTACACAGTGAAACCCTGTCTCAATAAGCCAAAACTAGCACTGACTGCTCTTCCAGAGGATCCGGTTCACCTCCCAGCACCACATGGCAGCTTACAACTATCTGTAATTCCAGTTCCAGAGGACCCGACACACAAGGCAAAACACCAATGTACATAAAATAAAAATAAAATAAATTTAAAAAAAAGCAAGAACAAAAAATTTTTGTTAGTGATATAAAGGAATAAATAAATGCACTTCCTCAATGTTTAGAGCATGTTTTTTCCTAAGAAATGCAGGAAATGGGTCTTCATACTGCAGCTTGTGCTATAGGCCTTGTGAAAGTTATCGACAGGCATTAAATTCAACAGAAGCTGGGCTGGAGAGATGGCTCAGTGGTTAAGAACACTGACTGTTCTTCCAGAGGACCGGGGTTCAATTCCTAGCAACTACGTGGTGTCTCACAACCACCTTGAATGAGATCCGGTGCCCTCCGCTGGCATACAGACAGAGGATTGTATACATAATAAATAAATTAAATATTTTAAAAAATTCAACAGAAGCTAAAAATAGTGATTTGAGTTAAATATATTTATGTGAAACTTAAATACCACATTTCAGAGACAGAGTAGATGATTTTCTGTTGTTTCTTATAAATGTATTCAGTTGGTTTTGAACCATTTTAGCTGAAATTTTTTAAAGATTTATTTATTATATATACAGTGTTCTGGCATGTAGATGGTTGCGAACCACCATGTGGGCCCTGGGAATTGAACTCAGGACCTCTGGAAGAGCAGTCAGTGCTCTTAACCTCTGAGCCATGTCTCCAGCTGAAATTTTAATATTTTTGCACTAATGAGGCAGAAACTCTTATTAACTCTGAATGTCACTTTATTATAATTTCCTGGTAGATACAAATAATGGGAAAACTATGTGCTTTATTTTCAATCATATGCTTGGTACTTACATACCATTAAACCCTGCATTGTACAGAGAATAGTGTGTGGAATTTAATGTTGATTTTTTTCCATTTAACAGAATGAACCTAGTATTTTCACAAAATACCAGACAAAGCCCCAGTTGTTTGGAGGTGATACAAAGGATGAAGGTTTATTTTCTCTTCCTTTGCCAGTTGGAAAATCAAAAGGACTCTTGAAACAGTTTGAGGAGAAAAAACGAAGGGCAACAGACAAATGTGACAGGTACAAGCTCATGTTTTATCAAGGAAGCAAATTTACTATGAATAATCAAATAATTAACCTTCAGTATAATAGCATGTATTAGTCAGAGTTGTGCAAAGGAAACGGAATCAGTATTGCACACACCGGGTGGGGGGCAGGGGCGAATGACAGAAGGATATAATATGATTTATTAGGGAAGTCCCATAAATCTGACATATGCACGCTAGAGAACCAGGGAAGCCAATAATATAATTCAGTATGAATCAGAGGAGAGAGATGGCTCCTCATTAAGGTTTGAAGTTTGACTTAAGAGCTCCAGTGTTGGAGAGCAGAAGAAACTGGATGTCACAACCCATGAGGAGAATCTTCCCTTCTTTTGTCTCTGGTCAGGTCATCATTATTTTGGGTAATGTACCTGCACATTGATAAAGATTAACTTGGGTTTTTTGTTTTAAGGGTATCATGTAGCTTGCTCTTCATATCTTTGTCAGCAGTAGTGCTTACCTAGCATGACAAGACCCTAGGTTTATTCTCTGTCTCCACAAAATAAACAAATATTAAATGAAAAAGCAGGATAACTTTGGAAGCTGGATATGGTGGGTGCACCTGAAATCTCAGCTTTTAGGAGGCAGAAAGAAGCAGGAGGATCAGGAGTTCAAGGTCATCTTTGGCAGCATAGTGAGTTCTACTTGCAGGTCAGTTTGAACTATTGCAGACTATCTCAAAACAAAAACTGCAACGTACTTGCACTCCTTACATTACTTGTGTGTGTTTAGTTATATTTCTGTTGCTGTCTGTGATAAAAAAAAATACCCGACAAAAGCAGCCTAGAAAGGAGAGTTCATTTGGCTCACAATTTCAGGATATAGTGTAGAGAAGTCAAGAGAGCAGGAACTAAAGTAACTGACACAGCACATCTGCAGTCTGAGAGCAGACACAATGCATGCATGCGTGTCTTTTTGTACAGTCCAGGACCCACATCTAGAGAATGGTGTTGCTCACTTTTAGGCTGAGTCTTCCCATGTCAATGAATGTAATCAAGACAATCAACAAGGAATATATACCCACAGCTCACTTAATCTGGACAATTCTTATTGAGATTCCTTCCTCAGGTGACTCTGCATCATGTCAAGGTGACAATTAAAAATGACCATCAAAGTATGTGTGTGTGTGTCCCTGTCTGTGGAGACCAGAGGTGCACTTCAGATGTTTTCTTCAATCATTCTCCACCTTTTTTTTTTTTTTTTTTTGGTTTTACGAGACAGGGTTTCTCTGTATTGTTTTGGAGGCTGTCGGTCCACATTCTCTACCTTTTTGTTTTCCACTTAATTTTTTGTCTTAGTGAACTTTGACCTTGTGGATTCATCTTATACTAGCTAGTTAGCAAGTTCCATGGATCTTGTTACAGTCTCCCCAGCACTGGGATTTGAGATATGCATCACCATGCTTGGCTTTTATGTACATGCTGGGTCTCCAACCTCAGGTCCCTGTGCTTCCACAGCACATAATCTACCCACTGAGCTGTTTGCCCACCCTCCGTTTTTGAGGCAAGGTCTCTCACTAGGACCTGGAGCTCAGTAATTAGGCAAGGTTTGCTGGCTATTGAGACCCTGCAATTAAAAGAGTTTACCTAGCTTTTTACATGAGTGCTTGGGATAGAACTCAAGACCAGCTGGGCGTTGGTGGTGCACGCCTTTGATCCCAGCACTTGGGAGGCAGAGACAGGCGGATCTCTGTGAGTTTGAGGCCAGCCTCCAAAACAGAGAAACCCTGTCTCATAAAACCAAAAAAAACAAAAAACAACAAAAAAAAAAGAACTCAAGACCTTATGCTTACCTACTCATCTGCCTCCCTAATGCTTCAACTGTTGCCTTTTTTTTTAAATATTTTATTTATATATTGTGTATAGAGCCTTCTGCCTGCAGGCCAGCAGAGGGTACCAGATCTCATTCAAGGTGGTTGTGAGCCACCATGTGGTTGCCGGGAATTGAACTCAGGACCTCTGGAAGAACAGTCAGTGCTCTTAACCGCTGAGCCATCTCTCCAGCCCCCAACTGTTGCCTTTTAATTTTTTTCTAATATGTTTTTGTTTCTTTGAGGCAGGATCTCACTGTATAGCCCAAACTGGCTTCAAGCTTTTATTGATCCTCTGCCTTAGCCTCTCAAGTACTGGGGTTATAGGTATGAGCCACTAACGCCCAGCTAGTAATTTTTGCTTTCCTCAGTGTGACTTGTAGATTTGAATGTAGCTTTTTGTCTCTGGAAAATAAAAACTATATTTAAAATATGTAAAATTCAACTAATATATTGATTCTGGTTAAATTTCTACCTTCCAATCTTTTCAGATCATCTAGCATAGGATATTAGAGAACATTATTATTATTATGCTTTTGGTTTTTCAAGACAGGGTTTCTCTGTGTAGTCCTGGCTGTCCTGGAACTTGCTATGTAGACCAGACCGGCCTCAAACAAACAAAGTTCCACCTGCCTCTGCTTCCTGAGTGCTGGGATTAAAGGTGTGCTCTACCACCACCACCACCACTACCACCACCACCAGGCTAGATGAGTCTGTGGTACATGATTTTTGTCTTGTGTAATGCTGGTAATTAAACATAGGGTTTCTCATACATTAAGCAAGTGTTCTACCACTGAATGATACCCTCAATCCAATGTAATATATGAATTCTTTTGGGGAGGGTTGGGGGATTTGGTTGTTTTGTTGGGGGTGCGTTTCAAGACAGGGTTTTTCTGTATCTTTAGAGCCCATTCTGGAACTCGCTCTACCGACCAGGCTGGCCTTAACTCAGAGATCCACCTGCCTCTGCCTCGCAAGTACTGGAATTAAAAGATGTGTGCCACCACCCAGCATAATATATGAATTTTTAAGTCAAAGTTTAAGACTTATTTCTCACTTTTTCTGAGACAGGGTCTCACTATATAGACCAGGATGACTTGGAACTGCCAGATACTCAACTGCCTCTTCCACTCCTCCACTCTCCCAGTGTTGGGACTACAGGAATGAGTCACCATGCACAGCTGGGCATGAGCAACATTTTTCTTTTTTTTCCTTCTTTGAGACAGAGTTTCTCTGTTCAGCCTTGGCTATCACAGAACTAGCTCTGTAGACCAGACTGGCCTCAAAAAGAAAAGAAATATATTCTTCAGCTAAGACTAACAAGATTGTGCTTCCTGCTAGGCCTAAGAATGGTCTGAGTTCAGTCCCTAGTACCCACATGGCAGAAAGAGAGAACTGACAGTTGTCCTCCGAACTCCACACATGCAGATACACATACACAAATAAACAAGTAATAAGAAAAACAAATTTTAAAGCCAAACATGGTCATTTTTTCCCAATTCTCAGCATTTAGAAAGCTGAGGTAGGAACATTACCAGGAATTGCAGGCAAAACTGAACTAATGTGTAATCATCCTGTTTTAAAAACACTGAGGGAGTAGAGAGATGGCTCAGCAGTTAAAAACATTTGCTGCTCTTGTAGAGGACCCAGGTTCTCAGTACTCATGACAACTCGTAAGTGTAACTCCAGTTCCAAGGGATCCAGTGCTGTCTTCTGGCCTCCACAGGAGGTACATGGTACACTAAACACATACATGAAGACTAAATACTCATACACATAAAAATACAAATACATGGGAAAAAACCTGAGCATATATTGAATGGGTAAAGGAACCTGCCACAAAACCTGATGACTTGATTTTAATCCCTGGGGACCACATGATGGAAAGAAAGAACTCTCACAAGTTGTCCTCTGACCTTCACGTCCACAATGTATATAACACATTCATTCATTCTCTCTCTCTCTTAATGAATGTAATAAAAAAAGGTAGAAGACCAGTTGATGGCTCAGCAGATAAAAATACTTGGTGACAACCTGAGTTTAATCCCCAGAATGGCTGAAGGAGAACACTGGCCCCTCAAGTTTTTCTCTAGCCTCCACATGGGTGCTCCGCAGTTCTGTGTGCAGACACAAATGAAATAATGTAAATTTAAAATTTTAACACAAAGTTTGTAATAAAAAAACTATTTGTGTATATGCTTGGTTTTGTTTACTTGTTGTTTTAAGACACACTCTCACATGGTTGGCCAAGAATTTATGTAGACCAGGCTGCCTTGTACTCCTAGAAATCCACCTGCTTGTAAAATCAGGAAGAAGAGCTGAAGACATGGCTCAGCACTAGCTGCTCTTGCAGGGAACTCAGGCTGAGTTCCCAGCACCTGCATGCTGTTTCACAAACATCTTAACTCCAGTTCTAGAAGATCCAACAACCTCTGCTGATCTCCTTGGGCACCAGGCACGAATATGGTGCACAGAGACACACAGTGTGGACAAAACACCCCCATAAAATACATCAGAATAAAAATAGGAAAATAAAACAGCAGCAGGGTGGAAGGAAGAAAACTATGATTCACATTGGAATTAAGTTTGAGTTTTGACTGGACACTGAGGTTTTTCAGGTCTCCAACTCTAATCAGGCAATGTTTGATGCTGTCATAATCAGATGTTGCATGTTATTTCAATATGGCACAAAGATTTATTCTTACCTCCCTTTTTTTTAAAACTCTAGTGAGATGCTGTACAACTTTGTTTCTCAATTTCAAGAAGTCATTCACAAGGTAGGTAGAGCTAAGTTTCAGAGAATCAGAGCATTGTATATCTTGGGAATGGAACCCTTGTAGTGGCATCAGCAAGTGTAGAACAGCAGCATGTTTACCATTTTATAATTAGATGACTGTTCGCCAAGTCAGGGAAATTAGACAACAATTGCTGTTTCCTTTGTCTTTTTCTTCTTTAAAATTCATGTTTATTTCATGTGTTTGGGTGTTTTGCCTGCATGTATGTGTGTGTGCCACATGTGCAGTGCCCTTGGAGGCCAGAAGAAGGCATTGGATTCTCTACAATTGGAGTTATAGACAGTTGTGAGCCACCATGTGGGTGCTAGGACTCAAACCCTGGTCTTTGGAAGAGCAAAGAGCACTCACAATGGGAACCATCTCTCTAGTCCCCATGCGATTTATTTATTCATTTATGTTTTTTTGAGACAGGGTTTCTCTGTGGCTTTGGAGGCTGTCCTGGAACTCACTCTGTAGACCAGGCTGGCCTCGAACTCACAGAGATCCACCTGCCTCTGCCTCCCGAGTGCTGGGATTAAAGGTATGTGCCACCAACACCTGGCTGTGATTTCTTTCTTAATTTTGAGTTTCTTAGTTGCAGACATCTGTGGAAAAGTCTGAGGAAAATCTCAGTTCAAGAAACCAATCTATTTTGGATTATTTGGAAACTATAGCCAAGACATGTGAGTGTCCCACATTTATTTTTGTTTGGTTCTATTTTTAAAATTTTGTTATCAACAGAGGACACTAGTGAGCCATGAATATGAGCCTTCTGACCCTAGCCATGTTCCCAGGGTATGACTCCATACTAGTACTGTTTTAGATGAAACAGTAGGAGCATAAAGGTAGGCCTGGTTAATGAAGCCCATTGCTATGGGACAGCACTTTTATTTTTGTTTGTTTTTGTATTGTTTTGTATTGCAACAGGGTATCTCTCTGCATAGCCTTGGCTGATTTGGAATTTTCTACCAGGCTGGCCTGGAACTCAAAGAGATCTGCCTAACTCTGCTTCTCAAGTGTTGGAATTAAAGGTGTGTGCCACCACACCAACTTGTAAACCTCTGAGAAAAGTTTGTCTGTGTAGGCCTGGCTGGCCTACAACTGCTAAATGAGATATAAAGGTATATATTAGAGGACATCACTTAGGTATTTCAGACTTTAGGATGTAGATGGATTCCCCTAGAACTGGAGTTACAGACAGTTGTGAATCAACAGGATGTATAAGTGCTGGGAACTGAACCCAGGTACTTGGGAAGAGCAGCAGGAGTGTTCTTAACCACTTAGCCATCTTTGCAACCCATGACAACACTTTGATCCCAAGGTGGCTTTTGTGTAGTACTATTCCTCAGCGATCTTGCTGTCTCAGGGTAGCTAGTTCTGCCAGCCTTCTCATCTCATGCCTGAAATGAATCAGCAGCTTCCCTAGTCTCACATGGCTTGCCTGCTGTGCCGTCTGTAGACACACTCCCCCTTAGGAGTTAGAAATATTCCAGTCACCTGCTGTTCTTCTCACTGCTTTGGGTTCGGTGAGAGTTGTTTTGTAGTGAATCAGCCTTGGTCTCAGTATCAGTTATAGGTGGTTTGTAAAATCTCCTCCCCACCCATTAAGTGTTTTACATATAGAAGAGCACCTTATAAACAGTCAATACTTCTTCAGAATTTAGCGTCTTACATATAAATGAACATCCTTTTAAAGTCAGTACTTCTCTAGACTTTCCTTAAGAAAATTAGATGATTGTGCATCTGTTCTTGTTGCCATTCTGTTTATTTTTAATTTTGAACTAATTCAAATCAGCTTATCCACATGCCAAGGGATGAATTACTCATGGTTTACAAAAATCAATGCTTTTGTGTGGCTTACAAAATAATTCCCATCTGTCTGAAAAGAAGCACTGTACTGTTTATGTACTGATTTCCAACCTGGGCTACACACAGGACAACAGTCCATCTGCTTAGAAGTGTTAAAACTAGAACTGTTACCCTCACAAGAATTAGCAATGCTGAGAACAGAGGTAAATGAGGGAGGTGCCCTTGTATGTGATAAGGTAACTCAGTTATCAGTGCCCCAGTCAAGTACTCTTAGCTGACAGAAGAAGTGAAGAGTTGCTGGGAGGCAGAGGCAGACAGATCGCTGTGAGTTTAAGGACAGCCTGGTCTCCAGAGTGAGTTCCACCATGCCAGTTTGTCATGTGTTTATTATTTATTGTTTTTTCTTTCTTCGTCAGGCATTTCACACAAAGCATTTTATATAATCCTGAAAGGTATAGGTTCTTCTCTTTGTACTTACGGGGGTAAAAATTATTAGGAAAAAAATCTGTCTTTGTTTTGTATTTAGTTCAAGAGAATGCACAGGTTCATCGTGACCTGATGTTTGATGCAGTGCGAGACAAAGGCAATATGGAACAGGCCATCCTTGAGCTACGGAAGATATCTGAAGCCGTAAGTATAAATGCAAGCTCTTGCCTTGCTTTGCCTTGTTGCCCAGGCTTGTCTTGAGGTGCTGACAAAAGTGATCCTGCCCAGCCTTCTGAGTAGTTGAGACTACAGATACATGCCATGCCCACAGGTGCATTTGGCTTTGTCTCTAAGACAAAGAGAGACACTTAATGTGTGAGAAATTTTCATCCAAGACCAGAAACCAGGATGGTTCTGTTTTCAGTAAGTCAAGACATAGTCTACCCTCAGGGTTCCCTGGCACATGTGTACCCCAGCCCAGCTCACAGTGTAGCTATGTTTACTCTGTGAGGGACAAGCCTTTGTCCACTGGTTGGTTATCTTAGGCTTTTTTTTTTTTTGTATTTTGAGACGGTAGCCCAGGCTGTTTAGAAACCACTATGTAGCTGAAGCTAGCCTCAGGCTCAGGCTAATCCCCCTTTTAATTTGTATTTTAAAATTATTTTATTTTTATATGTAAGATTTTTGCCTACATATATGAGGTACCATGTTTGTGCCTGGTTCCCACAGAAGTCAGTAGAGGGCATCAGATCCCCTGGAACTAGAGTTATAGATGGTTGTGAGCCATCATGTGGGTGCTGGGAACTGAACCTGGGTCCTCTACAAGAGTACTCTTTTTTCTTCTTCTTCTTATCTTTTTACCCCTGAAACAGGATTTCTCTCCTCTGTAGCTTTGAAGGCTGTCCTGGATCTCGTTTTCTAGACTAGGCTGGATTCGAACTCACAGAGATCCACTTGCCTCCCGAGTGCTGGGATTAAAGGTGTGTACCCACCTGGCTACAAGAGTACTCTTCCCAAGTACTTTTAACCTCTGCTCTTAACCACTGAACCATCTTCCTATCCCCTGTTATGGTAGTCCTCCTGACTCAGCCATCTAAGTGCTGGGATTAGGTTGTGAGCTACCTTAACATACTCACATCTGTTGTCACATTCATTGTGACCATCACTCTCCTCTTTCTCACTGTCTTTCCTAGAGACAAGCTGAGCTTATGGAGATGAAATCCAGCCTGAAAAACCTTGATGTTCTAGTTACCCAGCAGAGTAAGAACTTCCAGCAGCTTTGTGAGAAGCTGGGCCAGCTCAATGTGCCTGGTGTCTTAGAAGAGCTGAAACAACTCCTCTCTGCACCTCGGGCAGTTGGGTGTCTGAAAGACAGTGCCTCTCAGACCTCACCAGCTCTGGCCCAGGGCCTCCATTTTACAAGGCAGGAAAAATGTACCTCTGAGACTCAGGTGTCTCCTGCAGGGAATCCAAGTAGGAGTTCCCAGAGGCCTAGAGGGTTTGATGTCTGGGATAAAGGGACAGAGACTGGTGTTTTTCAGAAGGTTGCATTGCTGACAGATGGGCCCCATAGAGGAAATGAGTATTTGGAGAACAAGACCATACAGACTTACAGCAAGAACGTGGTTATCACCCCCAGAAGCCTCAGTAACCACTGCTCTAGCCTCCCAAGCCAGAAGGCTGATGGTGACGAGGATCTAGTTTCCCACGAAGCCTCACAGCTGGACTTAAATAAGATTGAATCCAGAGTGAAGAATGTCTGCCCCCAAAATGAAGCCCAAAGCATGTGGTCAGCAACTGAACAGAAACGCAGGGCACCAGATAAGGGGAGGAAAGGCAGGAAAAAGCAACCTAGGAAATCACAGAGAGGCAGGCTTCTAGCTGGGAAGCAAGAACAAATCCCAAGGAAGGCCTGTGCTTTTGTCTCTAGGCATCATAGTCCCCAGACTTCAGCTTCTAGCCCACAAGGGCCCAACATCTGTTGGCGGGCTCCAAGAAGCACCACAAAGTCAGCCTGTCGTATTCTGGGAAGAACCGTAAGGACCAATAAGACAGCAAGTGTAACACCCGGGAGCATCCTACAGTCTACCCAGTGCTCCTCCCCAGTCTGTGAGAGCTTATCCAGCAGTTCCCAGGAGGATCAGCAGATAAATTGGTTCAGTGACCTTAGCCTTGGACACCCAGAACCTCCTTTGTCTAAGAAGGAAGGGAAGAATTTGCTCTGCGACCCAGATTTTGACAGCAGCGATGATAACTTCTAACCCTGCCAACAGTGATTTGGGCTGATGGTTCACTGATCTCAGTTAGAAAGACAAATTGCAGAACATTTGGATTTTGCAGTAGCATATAGTATCTGAAGCTGACTTATCCAGCCTCAGTATCTGAAGCTGACTTATCCAGCCTCAGAGTCAGAGGCCCTTGGTTGATGGTGGTCAGTGGGAAGTGGGTGAGAATCCAGTACTCTAGGCTACTCATGACAAGTGCATACAAGTAAGTACATCCTTAGTTAAGGGGGAGAAATGTGTGGAGACAGTGACAAGAGCTCAGTCAGCCTGTGTGAGGCATTAGGAAGGCAGCTATGAGTATTTGGTGAAAGGAAGGGACATCGATTTCCTTATGGAATACTATCTAGAATTGTCAGAACTCGTGTGACTGCGTAATTAGCTCTCAAAATAGTCCCTACACCTGACAGGTACCTTTCTGAGCCTCAGGATTTTATTTTATTTTTTTATCTAGCTATGTTGTCAGAGTTTTCTCATTTCCATGAGAAGACATATTACAGGGTTCACCATTAGAATTAGACAGGGGTTCATTATGTAACCTTGCCTGGCCTTGTATTTACATTCCTCCTGCCTCAGCCTCCAGAGTGCTGGAGTACTACAAGCATGTCTCAGTTCTCAGCTGTAAATCAGTCTACTTAAGAACATAGTGTTAGCCGGGCGTTGGTGGCGCACGCCTTTAATCCCAGCACTCGGGAGGCAGAGGCAGGCAGATCTCTGTGAGTTCGAGACCAGCCTGGACTACCAAGTGAGTTCTAGGACAGCCTCCAAAGCCACAGAGAAACCCTGTCTCGAAAAACCAAAAAAAAAAAAAAAAAAAAAAAAAAAAAAGAACATAGTGTTAACGGGGCAGTGTTGGCACAGATGTTTAATTGGGAGGCAGAGGCAGGTGGATCTCTGTGAGTTTGAGGCCAGCCTGGTCTACAGAGTGAGTTGCAGGACAGCTAGGGCTGTTATACAAAGAAACCCTGTCTTAAAAAATCAAAACAAACAAATAAAATTGGGCTGGAAAGATGGCTTACCAGTTAATAGCATATAATGTTGCTGAAGAGCAGAGTTCTGTGCCCAATACCTATAACAGGCAGCTCACAACTGCCTGACTCCCAACTCCAGGGCATCTGAAACCCTCTTCTGTCTCCCTTGGACACCTACACACATGTTGCTTACATGCAGAGAGACACACACATATACACATTACAAAGAATAACTATCTTGAGCTGTATCCCTATATACCTGGGGCTGTCCTAGAACTCAGATCTGCCTGTCTCTGCCCCTAGAGTGATGGGATTAAAAGTGTGCACCACCTTGCCTGACAAAATAAAACTTTTTTGTTGTAGTTTTTTCAAGACAGGGCTTCTTTAAGTAACAGCCCTGACTGCCTTGGAACTCACTTTGTCGACCAGGCTGACCTCAAACTCAGAGATCTGCCTGCCTTTGCCTCCCGAGTGCTGGGATTAATGACGTGGGCACCACTGCCTGCCCAAGCAAAAGGCTTCTTTTTTTTTTTTTCTATTTTGGTTTTTCGAGACAGGGTCTCTCTGTGGCTTTGGAGGCTGTCCTGGAACCAGCTCTTGTAGACCAGGCTGGTCTTGAACTCAGAGAGATCTGCCTGCCTCTGCCTCCCGAGTGTTGGCATTAAAGGCATGTGCCACCACTGTCCGGCTTTTATACTAGACTTTAGCATTCAATTTACGTCTTGTTGATTTTTGTTTGGAAGGCCCTGTGGCTCCTGATTACCTGGAATCCATTGTAAGGTCCAACCTGGGCTCAGACTCATAGCAATCCCCTTTCTTCAGCCTCCTAAATGCTGGGGTTATGGACATAAACCACCATGACTGACTTTGAAATGTTTTAATTTTTGCAACACATATGCACTTCTTTGTAATTAGTTTTTTTTTTTTTACGAGACAGGGTTTCTCTGTATTGTTTTGGAGGCTATCGGTCCAGCCCAGCCTCGAACTCACAGAGATCCGCCTGCCTCTGCCTCCCGAGTGCTGGGATTAAAGGCGTGCGCCACCAACGCCCGGCTTTTTTTGTTATTAAAAAAACACCAAAACTAAAAATGGGCAGGAAGGGGGCTCAGCAGTTAAAGCACTTGCCACACAAACGTGATATAAAATGCTGTATGGTTGAGTCAGCCTATTGGTAATTCTAGCCTTAGAAGGTGGAGACGGAATCCCCAGAACACACTGTCTAACAAAACTAGCCATATCTGTGAGTTCTGTTTTTTTTTTTTAAGAGACTCTGCCTGGTGATTGATTGAGGGTGACTCCCGACATCAACCTCGGACTTCCACATGCATGTGCCCACACACCACACCAACACATGCAAAGTGGAAAAAGAAAAAAACAACTAAACCTCTGGGTGTGGTAGGACATGCTTGTAATTTCAGTGGGTTGAGACAACAGGACCCTAGGTTCAAGGCCAGGCCAGGCCACGTAGTGATTCTTTGTCTCAAAAGAAAGAGTCTGGAGGAGAAGGGAAGGAAGGAACAGAAAAGGGATAATGAAGGAAGTTAATTAGGGAGAAACTTCATGGAATGAATGGTTTCCTAAAATTGCCCATTTCCAGGCCAGTCTCCAGCCACCAGAGACTAAACTGTTGAAAAAAGTGACTCAATTTCTTTTCAGGGGTGTGTTTCCCATAAAATCCTGTAGTTCTTAATTTTGGGTTTTTTTTTTTTTTTTTTGAGATAGGGTTTCTCTCTGTGGCTTTGGAGCCTATCCTGGCATTCACTCTGTAGACCAGGCTGGCTTTGAACTCACAGAGACCCACCTACCTCTGTCTCCTGAGTGCTGGGATTAAAGGCATGTGCCACCAATGCCCAACAAAGTTCTATAATTCTTTTTTTTTTGGGGGGGGGTTTCGAGACAGGGTTTCTCTGTATTGTTTTGGAGGCTGTCCTGGAACTCACTCTGTAGACCAGGCTGGCCTTGAACTCACAGAGATCCACCTGCCTCTGCCTCCTGAGTGCTGGGATTAAAGGCGTGTGCCACCAATGCCCGGCTAAATTCTGTAATTCTTGAATCTGCCTATGACACCATTGGCAGGGTGCCATACCAAGGGCATTCTGTAGCCTGGACCTCTCACATATATGGGCAATCACAGCCGTCTTCTCTTAGTTCAAGTCTAGATTCTGCCTCTGGCTGCGCTAGCCTCTTCTACCTGTGGACTATATAGACTGGCCGTTTACTCTCCCCTCTGCAGCCTCCATTGAAACCCCTGCTGGGCTTCACTGCTTGTACGCAGAAGTTATGAGAAGCAGCAGCCTCACTACCCAAAAGTGTGGCCCATCCAGTCCTTCCCAGACTGACTACAGTTGCTCACCAAGTCACTAGAAGGAAGCTTTGAGACCAAAGGACCTTATTTCTGTTGAACAATGTAGTATTTAGTGTTTTATTTTTATCTTTGTTGATGTTTATTGTTTTAATATTTCAATTCAAAGTTGTGATCCTGTGAATTTAAAGTTCTTTTTGATTAGTATCTATGACTGAGTCCTCCTTGAATCATCTAACTGTAAAATGCCAAAAATGAACCCTGTGTCGTTTGACTCTGCTGTTACAGATGCTCTAGTCTTCAGAAGTACTTCACTTTGTGTGATGATGTCAAAGTTCACTGTGATTCAGGGTTCCGTGAGCTGGGTGTTTTTATAGAATAAGTGGTAAATTCATCTCCTAAAAAGGCTAAGATAGTTAAAAATTACACCGCCTGTCTCTGGCAATCATCAGGAAAGGATATTCTGTTTCTTATTTTATTCCTATGGCTTTTTACTTTTTTTGTTCCTGCCAGACTTGGTGAGTATGACACAGTCTCAAGCACGTCCCTGGAACACACAACATTTTTGGCTCTTCAGATGCTCCTAGAGCTGTATGTAGCTACACAGGGGTGGATGTAGTGGGAGGACTAGGGGTGGGAGGATGGAGAGTCTGCTGAGTGCTCCTCCCTCTGTTACTCCAGAATGGAAATGAAGCTGACTACAGAACTTAATTGCCTGACAGTCCAGTATCAATTCACTTAGCACTGGCAAAATGGCCCTTTTACATTTGGGGGGTGGCAGGCAGGGAAAGTGTGTGTGTGTGTGTGTGTGTGTGTGTGTATGTATGTGTGTATCTGTGTGTATGTGAGTGTGTCTGTGTGTGTATGTGAGTGTATCTGTGTGTGTGTGTGTGTGTGTGTGTGTGTGTGTGTGTGTGTGTGTGTTCTCTGAGGACCATTCGTCTCCTTGCTCTGTTCTCACACTGATGTAACTGAGTTAGTGCTCCTGTTTCATTTGCCTTGATAGAGTTATAAACTCCAGAAGTAAGAACAACACACGCCTTGTCCTTGCTGTGTCCCCAGCACACAGGAAAGTGTCTCACTTCGTATGTACTTGGGCAGAAGCTGCATTTTTAGGCAAATAGCTTTTGAAAAACTTTGTCTTTAGCCAGGCAGTGGTGGCACAAGCCATTAATTCCAGCACTTGGGAGGCAGAGGCAAGGATCTAGTTTGAGATCAGTCTGGCCTACAGAGTGAGTTCCAGGACAGCCAGGGTTACACAGAGAAACCCTGTCTTAAAGAACCAATAATAATAATAGATAATAAAAAACACAACAAAATGCAAACCCTCCCATGAGCTCTGTCTTGAGTTTGAGCCTTCCAGGGACCCTTTTGCTGTCCCTCCTTCAGAAGCTCCAAAAGGCTCCTGCTCATGCCCTTGTCTCTCAGAGACAATTCCTAGTAGCTCTTCCTTCACCCAGTGTGCCCACTGCTCTCCCTGGATAGGTTTGTAATCTTTTTTTTTAAGCCAGTCATAGGCCAAAACAGACAGTCTAGGACAGAGAGTTCTTCCACACTAGGACTTGGGTCCATTGTTGAATACATTTCCTAAGTAAAATTTTGTTCCTTCTGTAAATACTTAGTTGGAACCTAAAATAGTAATGTTCTCCCACACCAAGAAGAAAAATTGCCAGAACCTTACATGCTCTGGGGATGCAATTCTCAATCAGGCAAATAGGGGAATGGCTTCTGAAGCCTCCCTACTTTCATGCACCTACCCCTCCCTCCCCCCCCAAATGGTACTTTCTCAGAGAAGTGCAGTGTAGGTCCTAGATGAGCCCTTTTCACAAATCTTCATCTGTCTTCCTTGAAAATTAACATCTTACAATTCCACCTCTGTCAGAGTGGCATTCATGTCCTACTGGCTTGTTCCTGGGTGCCTATGTGAGGGACACAGGCCCCCAAACTGCCCGTTTCTTTCCTGGAACTTTCTCTGAGGTTAAAAGAGGAAAGCCCAAGAGAAGACCAAGGAGTTAGGGACAGTAGGACAGAGGTCACTTCCCTGTTCCCGAGTTGGGGAACCCTGAGAGCCAGAGATGAGAAGACAGGTTTCAGGCGCCTGATGGAAGACCTCTCTGGCACAGGCACAAAGGCACTCTCATAGGAGTGCCCTGACACACCTAGGGGACATCAAGTGCACGGTCTTGAACTAGACCTGGGTAGCCAGGGGTAGCCATGCTTGGGATTGTGGAGAGCATGGTCACGCAGTTGGCCTGAGGACAGTGTCACAATTTCGAGCTCTGACAACAGCTGCTCTGCCCCTGCCTGGCCTGCCTTCCCTGGCTCTTTAGCCCTCTTTTTACAGCAGACTTCCTCCAGTCCTCCAGCCTTTTGTTCTGGGGACACCTGCAGACTAGCTCTTGCCTTGCTGTCTCAGAGGCCAGTCTGTTCTAACGCTTTGACTGTAGCATCTTGGTGGGATGCAGACTTAGAACCTGAAAATCCTAAGGGTGGATGGGCCCAGTTTCTCAGATACCTTATGCTGTGATTTGGATTTGCAGTTTGCAGCTAGCAGGCTCCACTGTTCCTATTTATTCTTGAATTTGCCTTGTTTCTATTTTGATTCTCCTAATCCAAATTGCAGTTTAGTGTTTCCACGGAAACAATTCAGTGATTGTTTGGTGTGCCAAGATGAACTGCGGGGGAGGGAGCTGAATGACGTCAAACGTCTTAAAGTTTCTCAGACATGACCAGGTCAACTGTCACACATCATGAATGCCTTTGGACCCTGAAAACCTTTAGTTTTACTAAATGCTACATTCTAAGCTCCTATATCCTCTCCAGCAAATTCCTGAAAAACAGCTCCTCCTCCTCCCCCCTGAGCAGATGACACAGGCTGTTAGGGGCATGTTAAGAGCCAGGGGATCTAAACAATTGAGCGAGTCTGTGTGTCCACCTGAGTAATCTGGGGCTGGCTTGTCAGAGACTTGGGGCTTGCCTGCTTTGCCAAACATCTGTTTCTACAGTGAAGAAATTCCCCATTTAGACATTTTCACATAAAGCCTTGGCTAAAACAAAACCAAAGTATGTCTACCTGTCTGGCCAGAGGGAACCTGAATCATCTCTCTTTCCTTCTCTATCTTCTCCTTGTATTGGGCCACATTCCCTTGGGCTAATCTCCACCATAAGCAAAAACAAAAACAAACCTGTCACTTCAAAGTGTTCCACAGTTAGGTTCTGTCCTCAGCCACTGCAGCCACCTCCCCTTTGAAGCTGGGAATGCTGGGAACTACCACAGACCATCCGGTGAATTCAGCTGGGACAACCAGCCTGGGGATGCAGTACCCTTAGGACAGTGGTCTTACAGGAGTCCTGGGGAGCCATGGAATCCATCCGTTCAGTTCTCACAAACTGACAGTGACAGACAGGCACCTAGTGAAAGATATCCATGATTCCTTGATGGAGATGGGGGTGTAGAACAAAAATCTCCTAGGGCTGTGAAAAGAAGCTTACTGAAAAGTGCTTGCCTAGTGTGTCTGAGTTTGGGGGTTGGTTTGCAGACACACTTTAATTTATTTTCTATTTATTTTCTTTTTTTTTTTTTTTGAGACAAGGTTTCTCTGTGTAGACCTGGCTGTCCTGGTACTCTATTTGTAGACCAGGGTAGCCTTAAACTCACAGAGACCTGCCTACCGAGTGCTGGGATTAAAGGCTTGTACTATCATTGCCCAGCAAGATAGAAAATATTTTAAACCACTGTAGTTCTCTTTGATGATTCCCTATAATTTTGTTGTTTAAGACAGGATTTCTCTTGTATAGACTCGGCTGTCCTGGAACTCACTCGGTAGACAAGGCTGGACAAATTTTTTTTTTTTTTTGGTTTTTCGAGACAGGGTTTCTCTGCGGCTTTGGAGGCTTTCCTGGAACTAGCTCTTGTAGACCAGGCTGGTCTCGAACTCACAGAGATCCGCCTGCCTCTGCCTCCCGAGTGCTGGGATTAAAGGCGTGCGCCACCAACGCTCTGCTTAAGGCTGGACAAATTTCTGTATATACATTTTTTTAAAAAAAGTTGGGAGTTGATTGCATTTAAAATTTTTTTTATTTATTTATAGTAATCTACCATATGGTTGCTGGGAATTGAACTAGAACCTCTGGAAGAGCAGCCAGTGCTCTTAATTGCTGAGCTAACTCTCCAGCCCCAGTTGACTGCATTTTTAAATGTTAAATTTTGGAGCCGGGCGTTGGTGGCGCATGCCTTTAATCCCAGCACTTGGGAGGCAGAGGCAGGCAGATCTCTGTGAGTTCGAGGCCAGCCTGGTCTACAGAGCGAGTTCCAGGACAGCCTCCAAAGCCACAGGGAAACCCTGTCTCGAAAAAACAAAAAACAAAACAAAACAAAAAAAAATGTTAAATTTTGGAATAACATTAGATTTACAGAAAACTTCAAATATAGTGAGCATATGTAAACTCTGCCCAACTTTCTCAGTGTTGACATATAACTGATATATTTATCAAAGCCAGGAAACTAATATCAATACATTAAACACCAGCCTTCATGTAGATTTCACTCATGTAAACATCCCATACGTGCTAGCATACAGTCCAGGATTCACATGTTTCTTAGTCCTGCTGGTGAAAGGTTTTGAATCCTAGTTTTATGACCTTCACAATCCTGAGATTCTGGTCAGGGATCCTAGAAAACCTGTCTAGGTTTGTCTAACCCTGCCTCATGGTTATAGACTGATATGAGGGCTGTGGGGTTTGCGAGCATATCACAGATGAAGCGCTTTTTTCAGATTGGCCTTCAACACACCACAGCAGTGGTTCTCAACCTTCCTAATCATGTGACCCTCACCATGAAATTGCTTTGTTGCTACTTCATAACTGTAATTTTGCTAATGTTATGAATTATGAAGTCTGTTTTCCAGTGATCTAAGGTGACCCCTATGAAAGGGGTGACCACAAAGGGTCAAACCTGCAAGTCACAGCCCACAGGTTGAGAACCCCTCACTGTCCTGTAGACAACCTCATGGGCCCCTCTGTACAGGGCAAGTACTCTCAATGACAGAGCCATCGCTCCAGCCCTCTTCATTGGTTGAGAAAGGGCCTCACTACAGAAACCACCACACCACACCGTCTTCTTGTGCTACCATCTACATGGCATTACTAGTGGTGGCGACTCTCATGATTTGTCAGGTCTGCAGCTTTCTCCACTCTCACTTTACAGGGGCTTTTTCCCTTTCCGTCTTTGGATAAGAGTAACTAAGTCTAGCTGGATGGTAGTGGCTCATGCTAAATTTAGTCCCAGCATTCAGGGGGCAGAGGCAGGCAGATCTCTGAAGTTCCAGGACAGCCAGGACCACACAGGAAAACAAAAAACAGAGTCAGAAGGAAAAAAAAAGGTAACCAATTCTAGTTCGTCCATAAGGGTTATGATGGGGAAAGAGGTAAAGGCAGGAATTACCTATACATCTGTGGAGTTTGCTGATGCACACCTTTGTGAGACAGATTGTTGAGTTAGAAGCCAGCCTGCTCTACATAGAGTTCTAGGACAGCCAGAGATATATTCTCTCTCTCTCTCTCTCTCTCTCTCTCTCTCTCTCTCTCTCTCTCTCTCTCTAAAATTAAGTTAGGCAATATGCTGGCTTGAGAAATATTTTATGAACATTAAACTCAAGTAGGCTGGCATCTCTCCATCTAGAACAACCTGAGCAGAGGCGGTACAAGGACACTGTGAGCTTTCCACCTCTGACCTCTAACCCACAGGCTGTGTTTACTGAATCTGCTCCCTCCTGTAAGGATTAAACAGCAGTTAGCCAAGAAGAGCCACTGGTTAGACTTGTCCTTTTCTCTTGCCTCCCTGGTGGAAACCAGTGAACACTCATCACAGAGTTCCATTAGACCAAAGTGGCTATGTGTGCTGACAGATTGCCAGATGATGGCTCGCAGCTGCTGAGAAGGGACATGCCGCCTCGGCTGACGCACCAGGCAAGTGCCACTGAGCCAGATCCCAAGACTAAAACAGCCATTGAAACAACTGAATGATACACTCGCAGTCATCCTGCCTGACACTGTGCTCGCTCTTTCTTCTTCTGTGCTGACCTCGGGACGGCAATGGCCTGGTCTCTCCTCTGTCTTGGCTCAGCATGTGGTGTGGTTCAGGTGCCATGGTGGATAGGTAAGCCTGTACTGACCCCCCTCAGCAGGGTCCACACTTCCGTGGAGGATACATGAGGTTCAGAAGGAGACAGCCTGGAGTCCTACCAGAAACTGATTCAAGCAGATCTGCATGGAGGCATCGCTCTGGGTGGGGGAGGGATAGGGAGTTAAGGGAGGTCTGAGCAAAGCATGGACACAGGAAACAGGGCCCTGTGTGCAGTGTCTGAAGAGAGCAGAGGACACAGGAAACAGGGCCCAAGCCAAGCCTGGCTCTGCTGAATCAAGCTTACCTGTGGTGGGCTAGTCTCAGGTGACAACCCCACTCTGGTTACAGTCCTCATACTTTCCAGGATCTGTATAAAAGAATTCAAGGACAGGGGCAAAACCTATCAAGGGTATTGCATATATTGAATACCAACCAAAAACACACTTTAAAAATTGTCAAGTCAAAAAACTCCAAACATTTCAGAATAACAGAATATTAAAGCCCAGGAATTCAACAGGAACAGGGTACTTCTGCCAACTCCTTATGAAGACTGCTTCTGATAACCATGTGGCTGCTGAAAAACAACTCTCCTACTCTATTTGGTATTTAAAAGAGGTCATCAAGTTGTAGTCTTCCTCCAAGTCCAGAACAGTCTCAACAATATTCTGATCATCAAAAGCCTGCTTGAGGCTACCAGGGTCAGCATCCAAAGCCTTCCGAGGGCTCTCATCCACAAGCAGGGCCCAGGCCTCCTCCTTCAGGGGTGAATCTTGGCAACGTCCACACACACGGTTCAATTCATTTTCAAATTCTAGTTTTCCAGCCAGTTCTTCAATAGTTCGGATACTTGTATGGTCTTAAAACAGCAACAAAAGGACATTCAGCTTTATAGTTTTACTTAGAAGTTTCTGAGAACATTTCAGGGATAAATTAAAAACCACCAAACTGATATAACTCGAGAAAGAACCTTTGTCTAGCTTGATAACTACTACCACAAGCTAGCAAGCAAATAGACACACAAACCACAAATGGATAAACATTCCACAGGCTGTGTAGAACTCAGCATTCCCACCCCAGTACACACAAGTGAGCACCATCCTAAGGTGCACCTGCTACCATCCTTTTACACCCCAGAATTCATCCAGCCCAATTCCCAAGAAAGGTGTAAATGGAATATACAGCTTGTTCCTGTTTCCATAGAACGCCCTGACCTGTGGGGGTGACAAGATGGTATGAAAAGCCAGGTCTTTAGGGTAATCAGGAAACTGATGCGTGCTGAGAGGTCCAAGAGAAAGACAGGCAGAAGTGGCCACGACTTCAGCTTATATCCTGGGGCTATTAGAGGACAGACCTCCCCGGGGTTCTTTCTAAACATGTCAACAGTTTCTGGCAATGCCTGAGGTTATGTATCCTTAACCAGGAGCACTGTGCAGTATGAGTCATTTAGAAATAGGACACACAGTTCAGACAGCATACAGATACAGAATGTATGCAGTCTAAATGTCTGACTGCTGGGTGTGGTGGTGCACACTTATCCTAGGACTCAGAATTCCGAGTCAAGCAGGAAGATTACAAATTCCAGATCAGCTGGCCTGCCCAGTCAGAGTCTGTTTGAAAGAGAAAAACTTAGCCACTTAGCCAGGCAATAGGGGTGACTCACATCTTTAATCCCAGCACTTGGGAGGCAGAGGCAAGCAGATCTCTCTGAGTTCGAGACCAACCTCGTCTACAAAGTACAAAGCTACACAAAGAAACCCTGTCTCGGGGCTGGAGAAATGGTTCAGAGGTTATGAGCACTGACTGCTGCTTTTTCAGAGGTCCTGAGTTCAATTCCCAGCAACCACATGGTGGCTTACAACCAATTCAATCTGGTTCCATCTTCTGGCAGAACACTGTATATGTAATAAATAAATAAATCTTTAAAAAAACGAGTACTTGCTGAGTTTCTTTAAGAAAAAAAAAAAAAAAAGAAACCCTGTCTCAAGTCCCCTCCATATACATACAAAAGAAAACTTCCTGGAAGATAGATTTTATTCTTTGTGACTGTCTCATTCTGTAGCCTTGGCTGGCCTCAAATTCATACAAATATATGTGCCTCTACCTTCCAAGAGCTGAAATTAAAGGCAGGTGCCACCTCACTTGGCTACAAGAAAGATTTCTTCCACTATTGTGTTTCCCAGCCTGGGTGGACTACTTATATCTCTTCCTCTTTAGGTCTGTATCCCATTTCCTTCAGCTCTGTGTTTAAGCACTAAGGTCTAGAGGCTGTTATCTGTTCCTCCGGGACCCCAGATCATTAGAGACACTTGGGTAATGATCTTATTGACCTGTGACCTCACTAGGTTACTGGTTTGCTGAAGAAAGGGCAAGTACTGATTATTCACTGTTCTGAAACTGAATTTACCAAATAAGATGTGTGGACTCATGGCCTGTGTGAAGGGCCATGGAAAGAAGGGTCCAGCTCTCTACTTACCAATCATATCTAGCAGATCCTTTGTGACCTCTTGGCTAGAACTGCTGAGCAGCATGTTTGAGTCAACTTTTAAGTCTCTTTCCATATCCTTCCTGCAGTCCCGATTGGGTGTGGGGAGGGGGAAGAAGATGGGGAATTAGATATTCTTTCAGGAAAATATTGGAAAACTTCAGACAATCCAAAACACAACTGGTTGTGTATATAGTGTTCTGCCTGCATGTTTGTCTACATGCCAAAAGGGTACCAGATCTCATTACAGATGGCCGTGAACCATCATGTGGTTTCTGGGAATTCAACTCAGGACCTCTGGAAGAGCAACCAGCAAGTTCTCTTAATCCCTGAGCCATCTCTCTAGACTCTGTTGTTTTAAGACAGTCTCACTATGTAGCCCTGGCTGGCCTGGAACATATTGTGTAAACTAGGGTGGCCTCAGATTCAGAAATCTTCCTGTTTCTGCCTCCTGAGTGCTTAGGATTCAAGACATACCATCATGACGAGCTTAGACTAACATTTACCTTTTATGATATAAGACTAACCAGAAAGTGAAGAAACCAATCAACATCATAATGACATATTCCACTGCAAGCTGCATTATTGTTTATGAAACCAACACATATATTTGCAGTTAAATGGCTTCTCAATTTCTTGACTTTGGGATAGGCAAGATGGCCGGCCACACATCTAAGTCATATCACATACTCACCCCTGCTCTAAGTCAAGATGCCTGGGAAGAGGTAGTTTGCAGCTACTTACTCTCTAAAGGAGATAGTCATGTTGTTTCCTTTTGTTTTTTGTTTTGCAAAACAGAATTTCTCTGTATAGCCTTGGCTGTCCTGGAACTCATTCTGTAGACCAGGCTGGCCTTGAACTCACAGAGACCTGGCTGCTTCTGCCTCCCGAGTGCTGGGAATAAAGGCGTGTGCCACCACCGTCCAAGTGAAACAAAGGTGAAGCCAGGAAGCAGGGTCCAGCCATGGACAAAGGAAGGAAAGGCTGGTGTCCTGGCTCTGAACACGGAAGCCGGTGTGGGTTATTCTTGTTTCTGCAGCATAGCATTGTCTTTTACATCAGATCACTCAGGACTGGTAATTTATGCCCGTAATCCCTGCACTTGGGATTTAGAAAAAGAGATCCAAGTTCTAAGTCACCCTCAGCTACACAGGAGTGGAAAGTCAGATGGTCTACACTAGATAGAGTGTCTTTGAAAAGACAAAAACATGCTGGCAGAATGACTCAGCAATGCAAATGTAAGTATGATGACTTGAGTTGGATCCCTGAACCCACAGTGGAAAGAATCAACTCCTGAAGGCTTTCCTTTGCCTACTCTCAAACCATATACACACTAATAAAAACTTAAAACTTGGAAAAAAATTGGCGGCTGGAGATGTTTTTTTTTTTTTTTTTTTTTTTTAAGTAAGACAGGTTTGCTGTGTGTATAGTCCTAGCCGGAACTCGATTTGTAGACCAGGCTGGCCTTGAACTCAGAGATCCAACCTGCCTCCCTCTCCAGTGCTGGGATCAAAGGCGCTGCAGCCGCCATGGCCCCGCTGAGATGTCTCATCGGCTAAGAGGACTAGCTGTACTTCCAGATATGCAGTACCTCGAACAGCTAACACTAGTCCAGGAGGTACAATGCCACAGCCTTCTGGTTTTTGCAGGCAGGCACTGCAGGGATACATGTGGTGCAGTCATGCTTGCCGGCAAAGCAGCCTCATATACAAAATACAAATTAGGAAAACCCTCAAAGTATAAGAAAAGCATTGCTAGCCGGGCGTTGGTGGCGCACGCCTTTAATCCCAGCACTCGGGAGGCAGAGGCAGGCGGATCTCTGTGTGTTTGAGGCCAGCCTGGTCTACTGAGCGAGTTCCAGGACAGCCTCCAAAACAATACAGAGAAACCCTGTCTTGAAAAACCAAAAAAAAAAAAAAAAAAAAAAAAAAAAAGCATTGCTAAGGCTTGACGCTCAGTGGTAGAATGTTTGCCCTAGAATGCATGAGGCCTTGGTTGGATCCTCAACACCATCCACAAATGTAACAGTAATTATTTACACTGACTACCCTTTGGGCACCATAGTTTCCATGACTGTTTGGATATCTAGAGCCTTCAACCACTCAACACAGACACACACAATAGATATAACTGTTGGGCCAGATTCTGAGAAACGTGTATCAATTTCCTGTAGATTCTTAGCACTCCCAAGAGAAGGCTCTTCAACTTTTTTAAGATACAATTTTCCCTAATTGATGCTATTATCAAATTAGAATCACCTTAAACTTTCTTTTCTCCAGTTTTCCCCATCTCCTGCAGCTCTCCAAAACTGTCTTTCACGTGCCAAAATGGAAGAGTGCATCAACACATTTTCCTTGCTGGTCAGAGGTTTTCTCTTGGGGTATAAAGGAAGGGGTTTTGCATTAACTGGGACATGGTGTGGCGTAAAGACAGGGTTCTCATTCTCAGGAGCACATGAGGTACCAGCGCAGGGGGCAGCCGAGGGGCAGGCTGCCAGTGGGTTTCTGCAGAGCAGCCTGTGCACCGGCATAGAGGCTAGCGACGGAGCGTCCAGCCTCTGAGGACCCGTGCACTCCTGGGAATGCCTGACTCCTTCAAAGGCTCGGTCTATGGCTGCAGTCAGCTCCTTTCTGCATCTTCGTAGTTTCTCAGACATTTTCCTGAAAGCGACCATGCCTTTTATTATGTAATAAACGGAAATGCACAGAACAACAAGATAATGATGCTGTACAAAAGGCTGAGACTCAACCCCGATTTCGAGTTTGATCTACGCTTACACCACATCATCCTTACTTTTCTTCGAGAGGGGATTATTGTCCGCCATTCTCAGAGGACCCAGATAGCAGGGAACGGCCTGAAACCCGCCTCACCTCCCAAAGAGCTTCCTTAGCTGATTACCGGCTAGGCCTTTCCCACCGCCCCCTACTGAGACCCAGCTGTTGTCTGGGGTCCCCAAACTAGGGCCAATCTAGGCCGGAAGGGGCCCCCGCTGTGTCCTCACCCAAACGTCGCCGCACAACGGTGCCCAACGGTCACTGCGCTCACGTGCCAAAACCAGCCACTCCCAACACCCGCCTGCGTACTAGGTTAAAGGTCGCGCAAGACTCACATGACCACAAGGGGCCACAAAGACCCAGAAAGGTGGCCTGTTAGTATGCATGAAATAAGGAGTACCGCAGCTAGGCGAGTAGTAACAGCAGGATAAAAGAGAGAATCCGGTGTGAAGGGATCTATTACTAAAAAAGTATTTTCTTTTTTTGGGGGGGGCGAGGTTGTTTCAGAGACAGGGTTTCTCTGTGGCTTTGGAGGCTGTCCTGGAACTCGATCGGTAGACCAGGCTGGCCTCAAACTCACAGAGATCCGCCTGCCTCTGCCTCCCGAGTGCTGGGATTAAAGGCATGCGCCACCAACGCCCGGCCCAAAAAAAGTATTTTCTTAAACCTCATTAACTAGAGTGTTTTGAAGACTTGACAAACACCCGTGGTGTTCTTCTGAAGCAAACATGGAGAAACAATGCCACATACCGCTCCCAGTTTTATGAATGGACTTATTTTTAAGGGAGAGGTAACGAAAGTCCCAAACAGAATCAGTCTGTTTATCAACGGCAGTGGAGTCAGAACTTCACGGTTCCGTGAGAAACTGAAAACAAGACCCCCCCAATAATGGGAAAAGAAAGAATAGAAATGTGTTCCAGTGGCTAATGTTTAGAAAACTATAAACCTATCTCAGTGAACAGCAAAGAACTCGAGGACAACATCAAGTTTACTGGAGGCTTGGTTTACTGTGGCCAGACTACTGGGGTAACCAGTATGGGCACCAGAACCCCACAGCCAGGAGTTCAGAGCAGCCCTGCGTGTCTTCCTGGCTGCACCACACTCAATTACACGGGTCCCTCTCCATTCTCTGGATCCATGAGACACACTGCACTGTGTAACAACTCTCACCCCACAGTCCAGCTCCACAGGTTTAAAATCTCACCACCCATTTGAAAGAAAAAAATAATTCAGTCTCTTAACATAACCCTTCTGAGAAAGCAGGGTCTTTTCTTTTTTTTAACTCTTCTCATAAAAGAAGGTAATTCCTCATCTGGTTTTTAGATTGGCACGAGCAGTCTTCAAGAGTGCCAAAGACATTCTCCTGGGGGTGGCGCTGGTGCTGTGGGATGGCCGGGTTGCTGAGTCAGCATCAGTTGGTGTCCATGCTGGAAGCCTCCTCATCCCCCAAGCCCTGCTGTGAGCTGCTCAGCCTCCTTCCTCCATCAGAAGAGTCGGGGAAACTGGAGAGCGAAGGTGCACTGTGACATTCATCATCCCGACGCTGATAAAATAACACGTAGGCAGCTTTCGTCTAAAACGAAAGGAGGGGGGAAATCCATTTACTGGTAACAAATTAGCCCACCCTCCCATCCTTGCCAGTCAGTGCTATTAAACTCATCATGGTAGCTCTGGCCTATAATCCCAGCAAGGGGAGGCAGAGCCTGAGACAGGAGGATTTTTTCCAAGTTCAAAGCCCGGCTGGGCTTCAGAGTGAAACTGTCTCAAAATAATCAATGTTAAACTGGACGTGGCGGCACCTGTAATTCAGAGGTATGCAGGAAGAAGTCAGCTCAATAAGTAGGCACTCTGCCATCTGGTTCTGCACATCCACACTTAGGAGCTGCCGTGGCTACGGGGAATGCAGGTTTACTGTGACACAGTACCAGAGTTTCTCCATCAGGAGAGATTTAGAATGAATGGCAGTCCACTCTACTCCACCCAGATAGTGAAGTAACCATCTGGCCTCAGAGGGCCTTTTTTTGGCTTTTATTTAAGTTAACAGGGAGGAGTGTGTATCTGGGCAGGATACTCACCACTATCTGATCCTCAGAAGCCAGAGACACATTGCTATCATCAAAGTAATACCATTTCCCATTCAGTTTGTTCTTCGCATACGCAGTGTCTGCCAAGTTACAAACAAAATGCTCTAATGGTCACTGGAAAGAATCTAGCTATTTTATCAGGTTAGCACTAATATAAACACATGCTCATACCCAAAAATATTAACACTAAAATTAAGAGTAATGTATAGTCAGTGTGAATCCACCCAGGAAGAAGACACGAGTACTGCCCCCAGTACAAGGCCAACCTGGCCAAGGCTAAGGCAGGGTTGCATAGTAAGACCATGTCTCAAACAGAAAAAACACCACCACCAAATTATATAACAACTAATATACATGTAAGTAACGATAATTTTGTTTATTTCTCTGTGTGGCCCTGGCTGTCCTGAAACTCACTCTGTAGACTAGGTTGGTCTCAATCTCCAATAGTCACCCACCTCTGCCTCTTCAGCACTGGGATTAAAGGTGTGACCACCACACTCAACTAATAGAAATCGATTATTTAGCCAGGCATTGGTAGCACACGCCTTTAATCCCAGCACTCGGGAGGCAGAGGCATAGGCAGGCGGATCTCTGTGAGTTCGAGACCAGCCTGGACTACCAATCGAGTTCCAGGATAGCCTCCAAAGTCACAGAGAAACCCTGTCTCGAAAAACCAAAAAAAAAAAAAAAAGAAATCTATTATTTAATTATGTGGAGGGTGGTGGGTATGCATGTGCCCATAGAGGCCACAAGGTGGTGCGAGGATCCCTAGAGCTGGAGTTGCAGGCAGCTGTGAACCACCTGATGCGGTGCTGGGAACTGAACTCGGGTCCTCTGGAAGAGCAGAGCTGTGCACTATTGAGTCATCTCTCTAGCTGCTCCAGTGTCTATTTCATAGCTATGATCAGTGCTGGAGACAGTGCAATGACAGACTTGCCTGAGATTTTCATCAGCAAAAGTGGCCTTGAGTATAAGCAGAGCTACAGAGGGACTCGGCAAAGGAGCCAATGCTTCTAAGACTAAAGCCCAGCAGGAGCAGATGGATGGGTCTTCAGCAGAGTGCTCTAGGGGACTGTGGTGGATCTGCACAGCTGGGAGCTGAACACGGAGCTGTACATCTCTCTTCTCTACAGCTAAGACTGCATCCGTGGTGGCCGAACTACTTATCTGGAATGTGCAAGGCTCTAAATTCCTTCCCCAACACTGGGGAAAGGCAATGCCCCCCTCAAAACTGGTACATCTAACACAAGAACACAGCTGGAAGGCGAGGCAGGAGGATTAGTGTTAAGTGTCCTGACACACAGGGCTACACATAAGATCTTGTCTAAACAACAAACACAAAAAACTTTTCATTAAAGTGAACCTAAATGTTATAGAAATTCTGGAAAATAGGGGAAAAGAAAAAAAATATATATTTTTTTTTGGCTGGGTTTGGTTGTGTATACCCATCATTTTAACAGGGCTACCTGGCAAATTATAAGCCAGCCTGGCCTACATAGTGAGATCCTGTCTCTACACCAAAATGAACGGATTTTGGCAGCTCTCCTTCGAGGGCTCTGTACCCTTGCATTTTCTCTGCTTATTGATTTCGCAGATCTGGGTACCACTTCTGAATGACACGGATTTCATGTAGCTATTTTCAGTTATGAGGGCCATTTCCCCAGGGTATTCTGAAACAGCTAAGAACTCTTTGCTTGGGTTGGAGAGATGACTCAGTGGTTAAGAGCACTCTGGCTGCTCTTTCAAATGACCTGGGTTCAATTCCCACCACCCCCATGGCAGCTCACAACTGTCTGTAACTCTGGTTCCAGGTGATCTAACACCTTCACACCAATGCACATGAAATAAAGGTAAATGAAAAAAAAATAAAGGTAAATGAATTATTTAAACCAAACCAAAACAAACAAACAAACAAAAAACCTTTCTGCTCAAGCCCTGACCAGCAGTATCAGCTGTGCTCCCAAACACTGTTACTAACACTACTGTTAGAAACAGGTGGCACAGGCCTTTAATCCCAGCACTCAGGAGGTAGAGGCAGGCGGATCTCTTTGAGGCCAGCCTGGTCTACAGAGTGAGTTCCAGGACTGTTACACAGAGAAACCCTGTCTCAAAAATACAAAAAAAGAACACAACAGGTTGAATGAGATGGCTGTGGTGACCCACACCTTTAATCCCAGCATTCGGGAAGCAGAGGCAGGCACATTTCTGAGTCTGAGGCCAGCCTGGTCTACAAAGCAAAGAAACCTTGGCTGGAAAAATAAAAATAAACAAAGAGGTGAATGTTTTCATGCATAAAGTTGTCATGTCATTGTCTTAGGAGATTCCCAGAGGTAAACCCAGCACGGTGGCTCATGCCTGTAAACCTCCATTTGAGAGGCTATGGTAGGAATGCCAGGAGTCCCAGATTACCCTGGGCTACATGAGAAGCTCCAGGCCAGTACGAGCTGATCAGTGGTATGGTCTTGCAGAAACAAATCAACTCACAAAGTTAGCACTACTGAATTAAAGAATATGACAACTTAGAAGGAAGGGGTGGGAGGGCAGAGGGAGACTATCAACAAGTCAGGAAGAGGCTGAGAGAACACCAGGTAGGGCATTTCCACACAGCAGAAGGAAGTAGATGCCAATACTTACAGTGCCCAACCCCCATGGCTCCATAGTGATTGGACACAGCAATGAGGTCATAAACATAAGGCCTTGCTGACCGGTCACAGACAAACTCGGACATGTTCAGAGCTCTGAGTAAAAACATAATAGCCCATGAATACATTAACCTTTGCAGCCCAGCAACCCACTTCATCCAACAGACCAGAGCACAGGGAAGCACTAAACTCTGTGAGAAGAGAAAGACCAGGGCAGAATGACTATTTGTTAGACCAGAAACTGGGGAGGTCCAAGTCATGGCGCTGCCACACCACGTGGGTTTCAGCAGGGGTAAGGAGATGCCAAAGAGGGCTTCAGCCCCTGAATGGAGGCCATTACTAAGAGAACTGCAACCAAGGCCACAATCATTTAAATGACAGAACAGGGCCTTGGGAAGCTTTACTGTATTTTGAAATTTTCTGTTATGATTATTATTTTTTTAAAGATTTATTTATTTATTATGTATACAATGTTCTGTCTGAATATATTCCT